TATGTTAATATAAATTTTTATATTTAATTTAATTATCAAAAATTTTTTATTATTATATTTTATTACATTATTATTTACTACTTTATTAATTTATTAAGTTTTTATTTATTTAATTTTTCATATATTAAACAAACTCTTAATGTTTCTGATAATAAATAATTTCAATTTTTTATTATTATATTATTTGTAATTAAAAATACCTATTCTAATATGTCACTTATAGTTTGTATTATTAGATAAATCTTAAATCATATTATTTAAAACTGAAAATTTATTTAAATAAATCTACTATAAGAAAAGTTCAGTTTTTTAATTAATTATAGTTCAAGTTAATAATTTAATTCTGTTTCTGTTCTAATACTAGAGTAAAAATTTTATCTATATTTTATTAAAATTATGTAAAATATTGGCAATTTTTTTACAGAGATAAATGAAGCTAAATTTGTAAATAAGAAAGATTATTCTTTATAGAGTTTAAATATAAATTAAATTTAAGCATAAGTACTTGATTTTAATCTTTTTGAAAGATAGAAATTTTATTTTAAGTATTTAAAATTGCTGAGATTGTTAAAAAATTATTTATAATTAACCAATATTTTTAATTTTAATAGATATTAAAGCTATTACTTCACGTATTATAAAATTATTATTATTTATATATTTTTTAAATATATTTAAATTTTTGTAAATACAAGATAAATATCATTTATAATTAGATAAGATTATGTTAATAAATATCTAGTAATATTATAATTACAATTTTCCATATACGGGTATTCCTATATATAAATTTTTATCAATGATTTTTTCAAATCCACATGCTTTTTTGTCTCATGCTCTTACTTCCATGTGTTTTAACCTGTTTTGCATAAATTTAAGAATTTACAATCACAAGTGCGTACTAAATGAACTTTATTGATTTTATTATTATTATACAATCTAATGACAGTTTTCTGGCAATGAGAAATTAGATCAAACCAATGACGACTGTTGCTCCATTCTTATCGCACTGTCTATGCCCTTTTGCGTTTTTCTTTCTCGCCTTTTTAGCATAAGAGGATTAGTGGATGTGACAAAAAAACAAACACATGCACTGACATACCTTGATTATACCGTAAAGGTTCCATATTCTTCACAATCACTTTGCACTGTCGGACCCATTCATCACTTGCTTTATGTCCACCCCACAGAATACCATTTTCTTTTTCAATGGGATCAACATAAGATATCAACAACTTGTGCAACAGTGATTCTATTATGTCGTCTGCACCATTGAAACATGCATACACATTTTTTGAGAGTCCATAAATGCTCAAATGTCCCATACTGTCCTTGGCATCTGTTCGTGTTGTCACTCCAATGTCTAAAGTGCTATTGTATTCAATACCTTCAGATTCCACTCCAAGACTCATGTAAATCCCAAGGTAAGGCAGAGGGAAGGGTTTGCAGTCATCAATGCCAATATAGCGAGCTGTTTGTTTGAATATATTATCCATCTTCTGTCGTTTAAATGATTGCGCACTCTCTTCTTGCTGATCTTTGTCACCAGTTGAACCATCAGCTTCACGATTCCTGACTTGGATATCAATGAACGTCATGTTCTTCTCTGTGATTGGAGTATCATCATCTCGAACCATGGCAACTGGAATGATAATATCCACTCCTTTTTGATTTCGCTTACAAAAAATTGCTGCGCCGCGAAAGAAAAATTCGATAAGATCTAGCCGTGTGGGAGTGAACTCCACGTATGCAAAATGATTAAACCTAATCTTGCTATTGCGAAGCGTTATGCTGTTGGCTTGTTTAGTAAAAATCGGACTAAGCTTTTTGCAAGACTCCGAACCAACAAGTGCATCGAAAAATTCTTGAACAGTGGTGGGCTGTGAATACATGTTCCAGAGTTTGGATTTTGACTGCATAGCTTTGTCAATTGCCAGAAGACACAAGATCCTGCCAACAAGTTCACCCTGATCACCTGCATTGACAACAACGTGATTCCTGATTGAGCTGACTAAGTGGTCCAAAACTTGCACGAGAATCCCAGAACAGTTCATGATATGGCTTGCAGCCTCAGCTAGCACAGGTTCACTTGGGGATGTAGTGACAAGAGATTCCCGTGTCTCATCAACATGGCGCAAGATTCTCATATGGCTACTGACTAACTCGGATGCTTGCTGCGAAAGGCTCGAGATTTCTAAATAGAGCCGTGGTCCAAGAATTGCTAGTGCTTCTGTTACCTTTTCGATAACCACAGTACGCTTTGCTTCGTATATTTCTCTGGCTTTTTTTCTGTCACAGAGGATTTTCTCCATGGCAAATTCTATAATAGCTCCTTCATCAACATCTGCCCAAAGAGGTCGTCCCATATTGCGAATTTGAGCTATTGATGACGAAACTGTAATATTTGCTGGTCGTTGCATGCGGCAGTCAAATACATCAAGAAGGTAAAATGGTTTGTACAGTCTCTCTCCATCACCGACTCTGGTAGATGGGTCATGACGTTTGGCAGGAGAGAAGTTTGAGACTCTTGAGAGTGTATCTGTGAAAAGTGCCATAAAACAGGCATCACCCCCATGTGGAATAGCCTGTAGTGCCCTCAGTAAGTGATAAAAATTACCTTTATTATTCTTTCTGTCAATCAATATACCAGCTTCGTCGAGGGCTAACAACATTTTAAATGAAGAAGGGTTGCTCAGGTTTTTTAAAGTAATCATGAAGTCTTTATAGCGACTCTCTAACTTCTACAACAGACGCTGGCTTGTTCGAGGTCTCTTGCAATTTCATTTGTTTCGACACGTTATTCCAAAATGTGTTTTGCAACTCGAACATTTCATCATCTTTGTCACTGATAAACATGTCGAACACGCGGCCACATGTATTTTTCATATTTTCGCGAAGTTGTTGATCGAGGAATTTCGAACATACACCAAACAAAGCCGATAAGAAAGTAATATAATGAGCTTCCGAAAAAGCTTGTCCAGTGAGTACATCAGCAATGATGGAACGTTTTGGGTAGCCCCTCGATTCTGAATCACGCAAACAAATATATACCACAAAGACGTCTTTTTCAAATGCTAATTCTCTTAATAGTCTTGATTTGCCAGTACCGCTGGCTTGTATGAGTGATGTGTACGGAGCATAGAACTGTTGCGGTGTCCATATATTCGCACATTGTTCTAAATGACGAAAAAATACATCGACATAGTCTTCTCGTGGCTTTATCAGAGTATTCTTAAATGCGTTCTTCAATGAAACATAAGTTCGGTTAAATCCCTGGTTCTCGACTTCACTTTGCAGATTGGATGCTCCTGTGAAATAGTTGAGATAAGAGCAAATGGATAAGCCCGAGCTAGTCAGCATCGCAAATAGTATCTCGCGAATATAACAAGGAAACCAGGCATATAGAATGCATGCGGCAACAGCATTCGAACTATTCTCCCTCTGCTTCTCCTCATTAACCCATAATGTCTCTTGTCTCCTCCAGTTCACCTTTGAAACGAGTTTACGTATAAACCTTTGCTACGACTCTGCTCTATGTCCCAACCCCAACGCAAATCGTAATGCATTTCACTATCCTCCCAATAAACGTGTATTTCATTGCTCGCTTACCCTGTTTAGATG